CCTTTCAAGCATACATTAAAAATATGACTACACTGCAGAGCAAAGAACTAACTCTGCAAATGTAATTTCCTATCTCCAGGAACTCTCTAATTTAATTGTATAACCTCTTTCATAAGATTATCAAGATCTATCTCAAAACTACCCTAATTGACAAACTCTTATGCAACTTCAATCCTTGGGTAGATACAAGCTTTCTTCTAATTCTCCACCCAAATTTATTCATGACCAATTTAGAAAATTTGACCTAGTGTAGATGCTATCTTTTATCTTATTTTTTTCCTGCCCTCTTGCTATATAGTGCCAATTATGTGTAAAATACCCCAATGCAGCCTGTCCCTTCACTGGTTCACCTGGCCAGAGCTAAAGAGATGATGCTCTTTAACCTCACTTTGTACAACAGATGGTCTGTTTGTGTACCCACATCTCTAGCCCTCCTGCCTCTGGAACTTAATGCTTTCTTGGCAGGGGTGTCTGGAACTATGCAAAACATCAATAAATCAATCCAAAAGCAACGTGGAGCTCCTGTATTGACACCCTGTACAATGATCTGTACAATGATTGTTATCACATTTCCCTGAATTTCTCATATTATTTTCCTTTGGTATCCAAAGATGTCAGTGGTCCCCTTCCCAGCTGCATCTCAGTGCTTGCTCCCAGGTATCTTCTGAGCAGCCAGTGCATCCACATCTCTCCTTTCTGGCATGGACAAGTGACGAGCTCCTATTTCACACTGGAAATTCTTGTTACTGGTCTCCACGCTTACGACTTGTCTTAGCACCCAGCACTATTAATTGCCATTTTATGTCTATCACTCCCAATCAGCAAAGTTACCTAAATACCTCTCATGTGATGATCTGACCCTCCTCTGTAGGGACAATTCCTCCCAAGTTTTTGTCATCCCAACAGCTCCTGGGCACACACCCACACCCTGCACACAGGTCAGAGTGGATCCATTCAACAGCCCAAGCCTGGTCCCAAGGGAGCAGCACCACCAATCTCCCTCCATCCTGATGACTTTCTCTGAGTACCTCTTTCCATTCAGAGAACTTTATTTGCATGCAATGGTTGTATCTTCTCTTTGACCAGGTTCTTGTCTACCTTTCAATTCTTGTCTTGAACCACTGCCTTCATTTTAAGCCATAACATCCTGTGGGGCATGGTATCACGTACTTGGCTTTAGATAAATGACATTCCTACTCTACCCCATATAAATAATCTGTTATATGAAAAAGATGTTAGATTAGTCTAGCACAATCCATCTTTGATAAAATCTTGTTGTAATTTAGCCTGCTTCCTCATTATTTCCATGCCTAATTATTCTTTCTGCAAAATACGTCATAAGACGCTGGGTACTGTTGTGTTCAAACCAGCTGGCCTAACATTTCCTGCATTGCTTTTTTATTTTCTGACTCTCTAGGGACTCCCTGTAAAGGACACAAATGCTTGCCCTCTTCTGCATCTGAAGAGCCAGGGGAGAGCCTTGCTGCAAGCTATGCAAACCTAGGGCCACTGCTTTCAGTATTCCAGGACCGGGATTATTGGCACCTCTTCATTTGTCTCACCAAGATATTTAAGTTTTGCCTGTTTTCCCTGGGTTTTTTTGAAACCTTTGCTATGAATAGCTTTCACTTGCCTGCAGATTTGTCAGTAATTACACTCTGTTCCAGATTCTACAGAAGGTTCTGCTTTCATGAGAAAGTTGTGTCATTATTTAGAGACATCAGTTCCCCTTCCAGTTTAGGCATGTCTAATTTCGGTTCTGTGCAAATTGACTAAGTGCAGGTTTTGGTTGAACCCAAATAAGCTCGTTTGAACCAAAATAAGAATGTCCGTACACAAGGTCACATCAGGTTAATCAAATCACTTTATAAACAGACTTAAACTAAATTGGTGTAATTTCCCCATGTAGACAAGGTCAAAGACAATAAAGGAATATGAAATAGGTCAAAGTCCCTCATTAATTGCACACACCTTTGTGGTTTGACTGAATCTGGTGATTCTGAGGCTGGGCAGATGTGCAGCCAGCAAGCCCAGCTGTGCACAGAGCTTTTACTGGGGCCTGTCACCACATCAGTCTCCCTAAATTTGGGCTTAAGTGAGACTGGAGTAACAATAAGTAGAGTCTTGCAGGACTTTTCTACAGGGACATTGCTCCTTCAGCTTATGGGCCACAGGGCATATAAGCCATACACTTTTGGTCACACCAAAGTAGCAGTGAAAACAAGGCAAAAAAATGGAATGGCCTCAGCCTGGGCTGAGGATGGGACAGAGATGGTGGAGCTACAGCCAGGAAAGCTGATCCCCAGGGCCATTCTGGAGGGCACAGAGCTGCTGCTGCTGCAGCAGAGCACAGCCCCAGCTGAGCCAGGACTCACTCAAAAGAAGGGTGATCATCCAGGTCCTAACAAATAAATACAGTTGTTTACTGCCTGACTTCCCTGACAGAGATTTGTAACTGAAGCGGTAGAGAGGTCTGTCATTTCAATAATACTAGAAAGCATTGGTTCATACTATTTTGGTGTTTTACTGTTTTGTTTAAAGCCATATTATTTCACTAGGATCTGTAACTGTTCCAGTATAAGCTGGAATTCAGTTATTCTGATATAGGCACATAGCTTATTTGTCCAGTCTTGAAAGAATGATCTATGTTGGCATTAAAACCTTTGTACCATTACATGTCAGTCTTGGGAGGTTGAGTAATTTAGGACAAAACAAAGCAACTTCTGTTCATAGACAAGCCCTGGCTCCATACTGTAAAGACATCCTACCAATATTTTGATACTACTAATGAGCAGAAGTTGGATTTGACATCAGTATCTCTGCAATGTAATGCCACTTCCTCTATCATGAGACTTTAATTATGAACTACTCATTTGCTAATTTTAATCTTTAACTCTGAGCTATTTTTGTATACTTGATGTATGTCTTAAACCAGAAAAATAATTCAATACAGATATAGTCTCAGTGGCTAAAACCCAGGAGCCATCACATATCTTAGTGAAGTTTGCAGCTTATAAACACATTTCAAACCAATTTAGTTTTTCCCTCTAAATCAATTAATTGTAATCCACAGCTTGGAACAATCAGTATAAGAGAGCAGCAAGCAACCACTCCTAAAGCCATTTCCATTTTTCCTATTAACTCTTCCAGAAAAATTTTAAAGATTTGGTACTACACGTTTAGCCCAACAGATATGAACGCCTCCTTTCCACACAAATTTCAACTTTTGGCTTTTCCTGGAGTGTCCTGTCCTCATTAGTGCCTGCTGTGTTTGTCAGGGCTCCATCAGCTGCAGAGTCCCGAGTGCAGCTCTGCTGGCCCTCCCTGGTGCAGCACTGAGCACTGGCATGCTGACTTACTCTGATTAGCACATTACAGGACAATGATCTACCTTTTTTTTTTTTTTTTTTTTTAATAGTTTCTAAAAACCCAAAATCCAAATGTATTTTTCTCACTGGATAACTATGGTGAGGGACTGCAGCCTAGGAAGTTTATAAAAATTACACAAATTCCCAACCAAAACACCACATTGTCAGATATCAGTACCAGGGCTGCACATTGTGTACTCTTGAAAGTGTCTGCTGCTTCAAACAACATCCATTGGATCTGTGAGGACTGTGAAGCCTACACATCAAGCCCATGAAGAGCTAGCTGTCTCTTTAAGCCAAATTGGCATTTCCAAAGCTAGGGATTAGCCAGCAGTGATCCAGCAAAATAAGGACAGGGGAGCACCGGCATTCTGCTCAAAAATGAAGGAAGTGACTCTGAAGATTTTCTTATGTATACACGAAAGTCTAATCCCTCTAGTGAAATCAGCACCACAGCTTTCACTGCACACAGCAAAATAAACTTCAGCTAATAAATAACCCTACCCTCCCGAGGCAGGTAAGGCATAGGGCATTTCAACAGCTTTGATTTCAGGGGCATTATTTCCGGAGCCACCCCCTGCTGAAGGGGACAACTTCATGCACGGAGCAGGGGTACTTGGCACTTGGGTGCCAGTTCTGTCTCCAAAAAGGGACTGATGTGCTGCACTTCTCCAAAATGCACTGAGCCTCCTGCCTACGGGGACTGTGGCACTTCACAAAGGACTCCGGCCCTCCAAACCGCGTGCGACACCTCAGGGATGAATCACACAGGGCTCAGCTCCGACCTGCGCTTCCAGTGCGAGCTACCCAGAGCAATCACTTCACAATTTCTGCCACTAAGGACCAAGGCGTGGAGTTATCATTCACAAATCCACGGCTGAAACATGTGAGGGATTTTCAGAGCCTTCTTATTTCCCCATTTATAATGTAAACATTCTGTAAAATCAAATGACACAACAACTCTGGTGGGAAGAATGACTTTTCAACCTGGATTTTAGATGCTATCTAAAATCCAGATGCAAGACTCATTTCGGAGGTTTTTCTCCAGCCTATTTCAGTCAAATACATCCCACGAACGACGAACTTCAAGACAGAACCAGAAGCCTGCGATCAGACCCATTTCAGTCTCCTGAAAATCAGCTTCCCTCAATCCCAAATCACCGCAGCTCTCAGCCGCGCTCAGCCCGTGGCTGCTCCCGAGCGGCTCCGTGCGCCGAGGTCCGCGGGCGCTGAGGGACGGGGATGCCGGTGCCCGGCTTCGGGATGCTCCGCTCCTGCATCCCGGTCCTGGAGCCCCCTTCCCCCCTGCCCTCCACAGCCAGAGCCCCCCAGACACCCTGCGCTGCATCCTGCGCCCGTCTCGACGGTACACGGATTTTTTAAGAAAAAAAAACCCAGAGGACTTGCGGCTGTCAGTTTTCCTTTTCAGAACTTACCTGGGACCGTCCTGGCAGTGTCCGACGAAGGCAGGGCGGAGCGCCGAGTGCCGCGTACCGGCCCTGCAGCGGGGGCTTTTCCCGGGCTGCCCCCGCTCCCCACGGGCTGCAAGTGCGGGGACCCTCTCTCTCTCTCTCTCCCTCCCTCCCGTACTCCTGACCCCGGCAGGGCCCGCGGTCCCCCGGCCGTACGCACCGTCTAGGAAGATGCGCGTCCCGGAGTCGCTCTCAGTGCCATGCCCAGCCCCGGCGCGGTGCCCCCCCGGCGACAGGGGTTACCGCTCGCCGCGGGGTCCCGCTGCCCGGCGGTGACATGGCATGAGCGCGGGCAGGGCGGGGGGCAGTGCCGGCGATGCGCGGCGCGGGGTGGGCGCACGGGGGGCGCGGGCTGCGGGCAGCCGCGGCCGCAGCGCGCCGCTCGGCAGGAGCGGAGCACGGCAGGAGCGGCGCACCTCCGCGAGTGCGGGGCCCGGACGGGGCCGGGCAGGTGGCGCGGGCAGCGGCGGTGCCGTGCGCCGGGAGGAACCGGCGGAAACTAGGTCACCGCCGCCGATGCGCGGGTCCCGGCCGCGGGGTGGCCCCGGCCGCCGAGCCCTGCCGGGACCGGCCCGTCCCCCTCCGTGCGGAGCGAGGCCCGGCCCCGGCCGCCCCGACGGACCCGCAGCCGCTCTGCGCTCCCCGCCCGGAGCGCGGCACCGGTTCTCCGCGCAGCACGAGCTGTGCCCCGACGGGATTAGTCATCCCGTATCTGAGTCACCCATTCAACATTTGCCGCTTCCTTCCTCATAGGTTTTCTGGGTTTTTAAAAAATTCCCTTTCTCCAGTGTAAGTGTTTACCCTCCTCTCCAAGGACAGCGGGCAGCTCCTTTCCCCTGCCCGTGACTGCAGCCGTGCGCGGCAGGAGCAGCGGGGCTGGGGCCGCTGCTCAGTCGGGCCATGTGGTCCTGCCCTTCGCCAGAGTTTGGTTTATTCTCCTCTTGTACCTGGAAGCAGTAGGTACCAAAGCTGGGGCATTAAGACTGTTCTGAAGTCTCTTCCTCTCTCTTCTCAGGGCACTGCCGGGTGGGGATCAGCGCTGCCGTGGGAAACCACTGGTTGACGCCACAGTAGAGACAACTTGGGGGAACATTGCTGGGTCCCTGACTCCGGCCCCGGGGTTCTCCAAGCAGCTCCCAAAACTGAGTGCACTCCTTTACAACAAGTTAATTTTTTGGGGTCCTTTTTTTCCCCCTCTCCGCTTCAGCTCCTCTTGGAAAGCTGCTCCTTCACCTATGGAAGGCTGGGAGATCTGCTCCCTCTGGGAGCACGTTACTGCCTAGTACCCTTTCCCACAGCTGGCATCCTCACCGTTGGCTTTCTTTGCTCAGCCAAAATTCCTGTTCCTCTCCCAGCCCTCGTTCTGCAGGAGGAAAGGGCAGGCACACAGGCAGCCTGCACGGTCCCATCCCCACACGTGCCACTGCCCCAAAGCACAGCAATGGGGGACAAAAGCAGAACCCACAAACGGGGTAGTGGGCAAAAGACTTTCCTATGAGGCTATGAGGTTTTTAATATGAGCCTGATCCCAGTGAGGAAAGGGAAGTGACGTTGTTACAGCGATAACCCTGAGGAACACCAGTTGTTATTGATGAGGACAAGTAAAAGGGCACCTATGTGCACAGTTAATATTTCTTATTTACTTTCCTATTGGAGGCAAAGAAAATAGCTTGGTTGTGCTGCCTGCCACAAGTGGCAAATCTCATTTCCTCACTTAGAGTGGGTTTTTGAGGCACACGGCCTCGTAATGTGAAACACAGCAACCCTTCCCTCATTCATGTGGTAAAAATCCTTCCTGCTCACTTTCAGCCGAGGTACGAATGAGTATCAAATGCAGCATTTCTCTCCCCTTTTACTTGGGTTAGGGTGTGCCTCTGCTGCCTGCAGTGCAGCCCTGCACAGCAGTGGCCATCACCAGCAGGAGGGATGTCACTGCCTCCCTACATGACATGCAGATGCACATTTGGGGAGTAGATGAGGAATGATGAGAACATCGAACTCTGTGACTGAGGCACTTTAAGGTCTGGCACCCACAGACGGATGGGTGGGAAGCACAGGCAGGCAGGATGTGGCCCTGAAGATGCTGTGGTAGGTTTCCCCTCCAGGCACAAGTGCCACAGCCATTGCCCTGAGCTGTGCTAGCAGCTGGCCAGGGGTGCTGGCACTGCTGGGACACTTCTTTGGCCACCCCCCATGCCACAAGTCAGACAGGCACAGGAAACAGCATCAACACTGCCTTCTAATAAAGCAAACTGTTCAGAAGTACCACTTCACCTCATAAAAAACCATTATTTGCTGACCAGAAATCATGCCTTATTTGAAGTGTTCCAATCTTTCCCCTGCAGCCCCTGGCAGGTAGAGCTAGTAGGCTGGGCAAATACAGGGGCCCCTCCTTCTGCAGCAATGGTGAAGGAGTTTTCATATCAATTACTTTAATTATCTCATTTAGAATAGCACACTTTCCACCAAGATCTTTCCAGAAGTTAAGAAAGAATGGGGAAACAGACATTTCTGCCACTGCAAAATTCACACATTGTTCAGCAAGTTGTGGCATTGGGCAGCTTTGGCTGTGCTCAGCGATGGTTGGCGTAGCCTCAGATTTGTTTATATTGTTAGTTTTTGACAGTGCTGCATTGCAAAGACACACCAGCAGCAATAAAACCAAGAGAGAGCTGGTTTTGGCCAGAAAATAAGAACATCAAATAAAAAAATTATCTTTGTTGTTCTTATAAATATTCTTGCCCATGTTTTTATACATGTTCTTGTGTGTGAATAGAAGTGTATGTACATATATATATATATATATATATATATATATATAGTATCTATGTATATATATACAAATATGTACATGCATGTATATAAGTATTATATATATGTATGTAGAACCCAGCCTGCCCCTGCTGCACTTGCCCAGTGGACTGGGAGATCCTGAAGCCTGACAGGTACCACTAAGGAGCAACAGAATTAAATGAAGAACTAGAAGGATACCTTGAGCAGTATTTTGGAAGATCACACTCCCATTCACCATCTATCATCCCGAGCACAGGGCTGTCCAAACTAGCTTGCAAATTACACACTGCAAAAATTCCTACCCAGGAAATGCTTGCATTCCTCAGCGCTAAGTCAACAACCAGCCCCGGTTCAGGATCAGGCACCTCAGCCTTGTCTCCCTCCAGAGTGTGCCCAGAAACTCCGCGTGATGATTTTCCCTTTTCACACAGCGGTAACCGCGAGCCTTGGGATCACGCAACCGAAAAGGAGAGAGAGGAACAGAGATGGCAAAGAGGAAAAAGCAGCCTTGCCTTGGTCCGGAGCGGCTGTGTGCGGCGGGTCCCGCGGTGGCTCTGGGATGCGGCCGGAGCGCGGGTGGCAGCGGCAGAGCCCACCGAGCGCTCGCCATGGGACGGTGCGGGCGAGGCGGCGGGAGCCCCGTTCCTGCTCTGCCCAAGGCAGGGACACAGAGCTAATTGTGTCAGTGCTATTGCACAACACTGTTGCCTTGACACTGTGTCATGTAAAGATTTTAAACTGCCTCTTTATTAGTCATCCTCTATTCATTTTAATTGTGCCTGATAAGCAGGGCCATTTCACCTTTGTGTTTTCTGTTCGAGCTTATCGTGCGTATTTATGTCGCCCAAGAGACTTTCAATCTCTTCCTGTAGCGTTGGTAGATGCAGAGGAATGAGGAGGCATTGCCATCGCAACCTGCTGGGGTTCTCACCTCTTTGCTTGCTACCTTTTCAGAGCCCTGCTCTCCCAGTGTGAGCATCTCCACAGGTCCTTGATCCTGGCACCAAAAATGCTCCAACAGAGGCTTAGGTGGGAACCAGTGAGAAAGGATAGGCTGATTGAAACATGCACCTATTTTTTTTTTTTTTCAGGATCAAGTGCTGTAGGTGTGTGCTTAACACCACGGACTCACTTTGATCTTCTCCCAGGACAGAATTTTCTATGGATTAAATTCTTGCCTCTGAATTAAGGTATTGGTTATTTAACAAAATCAACGCTGGGAGATGAATAACTAATTATTTGATTTAATGCAAAGAATACAGTGAAAGTTTATAGAATATTTTAGTCTCACTTACTTGCAACATAAAAATATACTGCCTGAGAGTTTACCCGTGTGAACTCTGTCCCTGAAATTCCTTATCTAGCCTTATCTTTGTCAAGTCTGAAGTTTCACTGAAAGTGCCTGGAAGTAGAGCATTTTCCCTTCTGTGGCATTATGACCTTCTCCTCACCTCAAACATCCCCAGTGTTTGCTGTGGGAGGAGGAAGGGCCCTTTGGCCAGGACCACGCTGCCCACCTGTAGGAGCAGGGCAGGTGGCACAGCTGCTTCCCCAGCACCTGGAGCACGGCTGGCACTGCAGGGCCTGTTTGCTTAGAGCTCACGTCTGCTTCAGGAAGGGTGTCAGGGTTCTTCTCCACCTGGAGATGGATCTATTCGCTGGGTTTATTTAGTTTCACCTTAATTTTCCCTGTTTTAAAAGGTTCAAAGCTAGAATTCAGTTTTGAGCCAGAATTGTCTGAGGAGATGGGTAAAATCCCTTTCTCATTTAAGTTAAGAAAAAGGAAGACAAAGGCCATTAAAGGCAGAACAAAAAACACATTTACTCCAGTGTGAACAGGATTTCCTTCTAGCATAAGATCTTGCATTCCTGTGGGCAGAAATGAGCTACTCGCTGTCCTACACAGCATCTTTGAGGGCCACTTGGAATATTATGCAGCTGCTTAAAAGGATTATGAACATACATGAATGAGTTAATCACCATTTAGGACAAAATTCCACCTAAGCTTTTGAGAACCAACTGGAATTTTTTAATTTCCATCATACAGCACCTTCTTTTGTAGTAAATGGTTTAAGATGGTTGTTATAGAGGCAGCAGAAGTACCCAAATTTTGTGTGTATTTAAGGCCCTGTATTGCCTTGTGCTGGAGTAATACCTCGGCCAGATTAATGAATGTATTTATTTGAAAAGCTGAGAAGTGCCCGAGTAATATTTTTGGCCCAGAAAAAGATTAAAGAATACTTTTCGTGTGGCTGATCGTACTTCCAAAAATAATTATTATTTTTGTAAAGGAATAAAGTGTTCTGTCTTAACTGCAGTAAAATATTCTGTGATAAGTATTCTTGTGATCTGTTATTCTGCCTAACTCAAAGAAGGGAGGGGGGAAACTTGCACAAACAAGAGCATGTCTGCCTTCTGCCCATATCCTTACATGAGAGCATGCAAGCTAAAGCTAAAGCTCTTTGACCAAATTTTAGTTTGATCCCACAGGATAATGTACCTATGAATTAATTTTCTTTGATGCTTGGTTCATATCTTCTAGAGACTGTGCTGAAGACAAATTC